TACCCTTCCATCCCCTCCCTCTTCCACACAGTGGCCAACAGCCATCGTATGAAATGACTGTTCTTTCCTCACTCATCAAACAGTGCCCTTTGTAACCAAGTATCTATATATGTGTAGATCTGTTTCTGGCTTCTTCTGTTTCATGGAAATGTAAGTTTTTGATGGAAAAGGAGATGGAATTAAGGATAATTTCAAGTTTGGGACAATCAGTAGTCTCAATAGGGGATTTACCAACACCTTGAGCAGTGGATTCCCAAGAACGAGGGGAAGGATAAGAAGCTAAGAGAAATGCCTTTACAAATTGTTGTTGTTAGCTGCCATTGAGCTGACTCCGACTCATGGCGATCCCATGTGTTGTATAGTAGAAATGCTCCATAGGGTTTTCAGCCAAGAAAATCTTTACAGAAGCAGTTCACCATGTCTTTCTTGTGCAGAGCCACTGGGTGGGTTCGAACCGCCAACCTTTAGTTTAGCAGCCAATCACAAACCACTTGCACCACCTAGGCTCCTCCTTTTTATAAATTGTAAATTAGCAAAGTTAAAAAAAAAAAGATAACTGCCCAGCTATGGCAGGTGTTTGATAAAGTAGGTTCCCATACGCTGCTGGTAAAATGGGTAAATATTTTGGGAGAGAAATTTCTCAGTATATACTAAAAACTTATATTACTTGATTTAGTAATTTCATTTGTGGGCATCTATCCTAAGGAAATGGAGCCCTGGTGGTGCAGTGGTTAAGTGCTTGGCTGCTAACCAAAAGGCTGGCAGTTTGAATCCACCAGCTGCTCCTTAGAAACCCTATGGGGCAGTTCTACTCTGTCCTATAGGGTCGCTATGAGTCACAATCGACTTGACAACAACGAGTTTGTTTGTTTTTATCCTAAGGAAATACTCAATAATACATAAAAAGTTTCATGCACAAAGGTTTTTATTATTTATAATAATAAAAATTAGAAGTGTCCTAAATATTCAGTCAGGCTGGATGCTTAAGTAAATTATGGTGCATCCCTACAATGGAATATTAATTAAAAACTACAATGATGTTTATGATGAGATTTTTAAAACCTGGGGAAATGATTGCCCACACTGCTAAGGAAAAAAAAAAAGGATGTAAAGTCATACATTATTGTTGTTAGGTGCCGTTGAGTTGGTTCTGACTTATAGTGACCCCATGTACAACAGAACGAAACACTGCCCAGTCCTGCGCCATCCCCACAATTGTTGTTCTGCTTGAGCCCATTGCTGCAGCCACTGTGTCAATCCATCTCCTTGAGTGTCTTCCCTACTCATATATACAATAAAATCCCAAACAAGTAAGAGTGAAAATGCATGAATTATGGGTATTTTTCTTTTCTGATAAATTTCTGTATTTTCTACAATGATCATGCACTTTTTCCCTTCTTTTGCTTTACCGTATTAAAAAAAAAAGACTATTAACATATTACATGTTTCTTGCAATAAGTTAAATTACAGAGGGTTATGTAGAAAAGTGTGACAACCCCACCAGCAATGTATGAAGGTTCCAATTTCTCCACATCCTCAAAAACACTTATTATTATCTGTCTTCTTTATTATAGCCATCCTAGTAGGTGTGAAGTAGTATCTCACTGTGATTTTGATTTCCCTAATGAAGGGCCCTGGTGGCATAGTGTTTAAGAGCTTGGCTGCTCACCAAAAGGTCAGCAGTTTGAATCTACCAGCTGCTCCTTGGAAACTTTATGGGGCAGTTCTATTCTGTCCTATAGGGTCGCTATGATCAGAATCGACTAGAAGGCAAAGGGTTTGGTTTGGTTTTGGTTAATGACTAATGATGTTGAGCATCTTTTCATTTGCTTATTGGCATTCATATATCTTCTTTGGAGAAGTGTCTATTAAAATCCTTTGCTAATTTTAAAGTTGAGTTATTTGTATTTTTATTATCGAGTTGTAAGAGCTCTTTATATGTTCTGTATACAAGTCCATTATTAGATATATAATTTGCAAATATTTTATCCCATTCTGTGAGTTGTCTTTTCACTTTCTGTACAGTGACATTTTAAGTACAAAAGTTTAAAATTTTATCTTTTTTTTCTCTTAGTGCTTGTGCTTTTGGTGTCATATCTAAGAAATCATTGCCTAGTCCATAGTTACGAAGATTTACTCTTAGGCTTTCTTCTACGATTTTTATATTACTAGTTCTTATATTTAGGTCTATGATTAATTTTGAGTTAATTTTTGCATTTAGTGTGAGGTAGGGGTCCAACTTTACTCTTTGCATGTGGATATCCAGATGTCCCAGCATCATTTGTTGAAAATACTATTCTTTTCCCACTGAAATGTCTCTGTACACTTTTCAAAAATTAATTGACCACAAATATAAAAGTTTATTTTTGGACTCTCAGTTCTATTCCATTGATCTATCTGTCTGTCCTCATGCCAGTACCACACTGTCTTGATTACAGCACATGTGTAGTAAGTTTTTATACAGGGAAGCGTGAGTACTTTGTTCTTGTTTTTCAAGATTGTTTTGGTTACTCTGGGTCCCTTGTAAATTGTATAATCAGCTTGTCAATTTCTGCAAAAAAGCCAGCTGTCATTTTGCTAGGATTGTGTTTATTCTATTGGTAAATTTAAGGAGTATTACCATCTTAAAAATATGAAGTTTTTGATCCATGAATATGGAATGTCTTTCAATTTATTTGGATTTCTTCCATGTTTTGTAGTTTTCAGTGTACAAGTCTTGGACTTTTGTTAAATTTATTCATAAATATTTTATTTCTTTTAGTGCTGTTGTAAATGAAATTGTTTTCTTAATTTTATTTTTCAGATTGTCTATTGCTAATATTTAGAAAAACAATTGATTTTTGTATATTGATCTTCTCTCCTGCACCCTTGCTGAATGTATTTATTAGTACTAATAGTTTTTTAGTAAATTCCTTAGGATTTTCTATATACAAGATGATGTTATCTGCAAATGTTGATAGTTTTACTTATTCTTCTTCTATTTGGATGTCTTTCATTTCTTTTTATTGTCTAATTGCACTGGTTAAAACCTCCAGTACAAGTTTAAATAGATGTGGTAAGGGTGGGAATCCTTGTCTTTTTCCTGATCTTAGGGGCAAAGCATTCAGTCTTTCACCATTAAGTATGATGTTAACTGTGGGAGTTTTGTAGGTGTCCTTTATTAGATTGAGAAAGTTCCCTTCTATTCCTATTTTTTGAGTGTTTTTATCGTGAAATGTTGTTGGATTTTTTCAAATGCTTTTTCTCTGTCTAGTGAGATAATCATGGGTGTTTTTCCTTTATTCTATCAATATGATGTTTATATTGATAGATTATTTTTATGTTGAGCCAACACTGCATTCTTGGGATAAATCCCACTTGGTTATGTTGTACAGTACTTTTATATATGTTGCTGAATTCAGTTTGCTAGTATTTTGTTGAAGATTTTTGCGTCTTTATTCATAAGGTATACTGGAAGGTAGTTTCCTTTTTTTGAGACGCCTTTGTATGGTATGGTAACGGTAATACTGGCCTTATAAAATGAGTTGGAAAGTGTTCCCTCCACTTCTATTTTTTGGAAGAGTTTATGCAGGATTGGTATTAATTCTTTAAATATTTCATAGAATTCACTAGTGAAGCCATTTGGTCGAGGGCTTTTCTTTGTGGAAGTCTGTAAATTGCTAATTCAATCCCCTTACTTGTGATTGGTCTCTTCAGATTTTCTATTTCTTCTTGAGTCAATAGCTTGTGCTGGTCTAGGATCTATCCACTTCATCTAAGCTATCTAATTTATTTCCATACAGTTGTTCACAATATTCCCTTTTATCCATTTTAATTTCTGTGAGGTCAGTAGTTATGTCCCCTCTTTCATTCTTTAATTTTAGCTACTTGAGTCTTTTCTCCTTTTCTCTTGGTCAATGTAGCTAAACATTTGTCAGTTTTGTTGTGGACCATGTATCACTTTTATAAGAAGACATATGAAGTGAGGGGTACATTCATCCAGGAAACTACCGCTCTTCCACGCAGACAGAAGAGAGAAGGCTGACTCCCTGGGAAAAGGGAAAAAGCACAACTCCTGCTTTGGGGACAGCAGGAAGGCAGAGCACTACAGTGAGACAGCATGTTAAAATGAGTGGGATTACATAAGAATCTGTTTTCTAAGTCTTGGTTTATGTCTTTTAAGCATGAGTTTGAGGGTTAGCAAACCCAAGACTATTTAGAGAACACAAAAACTCAAAAGCAAAACAAAAACAAGAGAAAACATATACTCATAGTTTGAAATTTGGCAGAAGAAATCAAGTAGAATGACAACTTAAGAATGTCCTTGGAATGTGATAGAAAGCCATTTGCACCTTCAAATTAAAAAAAAGAAGGAAGATGAAGTGGATTTTCTTGAAAATATTATGCTGAGCGAAATACGTCAGTCACAATAGGACTTATATTGTATGATCCACTGATATGAAATAGGTAAATGTATGGAGACCAAAATTTATTAGTGCTTAGCAGAGGTGGGAGGAGGGACGAAGGAGGAGTCTTTGCTCAGAGGGCACTGAGTGTCTTTTAATGGTGGTAGAATAATTTGGAAATGGATAGTGATGATAGTTGTACAACGTGGTGAACATAACCTATGTCATTGAATTGTACATGTAAAAAATGTTGAATTGGCAAATGTTTTATTATATATATATTTTAGCACAATAAAACAATTTAAAAAATAGCAAAGGGTAATCCCCAGAAATGGAGATGAGAGGATAATAAGATAAACTCCAGCTTTTGTTGCCTCATTCCCCTAACTGCCAATATGGTTGACTCCAAGTATGTCCATAATCCCCATCACCACCACCACCATCTCTGCCTGGAGTGGTACGTAAGGTGAAGCCTGGGATATGAGGGGCCACCTCAGGGAGTTGGTGCCTTAGTGACTTGCCAGCAGTGAAGGGCCGTGAGCTGTGTGTAGACCAAGCACCAGCGACAGAAGAAAGCATGGTCCCAGGGCCACTGTGTCTGATACCGTAACTCACCGATACTGTTTTTGCCGTGTTTCCAGTTCCTTACGTCTGTGCTGCTTGAGAATGTGAATTTGGTCATCTCGGGCCAATTTTGCTGTCAAGAAAGGCAAGTATGAGAAGAGCCTAAGAAAGAATGTTAACGATGTCCAATATGCAGGGCCCCCTTACGCATTCTGCCCCATGCTGGATGCATAACATACACTATCTCATGTAAGCCACAGAACACTCTCCCCTATTTCATGGCAAGGAAACTGTGGCATGGATTTCATGGCAAGGAAACTGTGGCATGGGGAGGTTGAACAGCTTTTCTCTTGAACCTCGACCAAGGTCACACATCTCATTAGTGAATTTTCAACAAAAGGCTCAAATCCCATGCTCTCAATAACTCCCTTTACAAAAGACAAATCCAGTTCGTCATCCTCCTGCCAACCCACTTGTCGAGCCTCAGGATACCTCCACCTTAGGGCTCATAGAACAACGTTCAGGCTCAGGAGCCAGGCTTGGTTCCCATTCGGCTTTACAGGGACCTTGGGCCTTGATTTTCTGGCCCTCTCTGGTGAATGTGTACATGCCCATGTCTGGCTTGCCTGTCCATCTCTGCTCAGGGCCTCTGACAGCCTTCACTCTGCAAAGAAACATGGGGCCCAGGGACAGAGCTGCCTTTCACTCCAGAGGAAAGGGAGTTTATGGTTCTTGGTGGATTTTTTTTTTCAGACCACTTTGGAACAGTTCACTCCTCTCCCCTGTGCAGTTCTTATACTTCTTATGCCACAAACAGCAGTGACTGGGCTTCAGCGTTGTCTTGAGAGAGGGGCAGGGACTTTTGGCTCTCATGTTCCTCACTCTGCTTAATGAAAAAATCTGTGACTTAAGATCCAATACACAGATCCCAACACTGTTGCGTTTCCTGTAGTGCCTACATGGAGGGCTGAGCAAGAAGCTCGATTCTGAAACAGTGCAGTGACCTAGAGTGTGGGCTGTAGAAGAGACACAGCTGGGCTGGACTTGGTCCTGGTCACTTAAAGCTAAGTGACCTTGAGCAAGTTGCCTTGGCCTCCTCCTATGTAAAATGAGGACAATAGTACCTATGTATCAGAGGCATGGTGGGAATTTAATGAGAGACTGCAGCAGAGCACTCACACTGTGCTAAGCACACATAAGACCAAACCCGCTGCTGTTAGGTCGATTCGGACTCATAACGACCCTATAGGACAGAGTAGAACTGCCCTATAGAGTTTCCAAGGGGCGCCTGGTGGATTCCAACTGCCAACCTTTTGGTTAGCTGCCGTAGCTCTCAACCATTACACCACCAGGGTTTCCGAGCACACATAAGTGCCCAATAAATGGGAAAACCAGTTATTACCATCATTCTTATAATTGTACTGGGCCGGAGGTTTCCCTCCCTCCCCCTAAGCCCAAGCTTCGGGGCATCTCATCTCTTAGCTCCCTCTGCTGCCATGTCTCATGTCAGAAGTGAGGCAGTTGGCTAAGGGCAGTGTCGCGCTTCTCTGGGCCTTTAGAAAACAAGAAGTTGTATCATCATCACTCTATATACGGTTGTTTAAGGTTGTTTAAGGTCAAGCCAGTGATGACTCACAGTCGATGGAGTCCTGGGTGGGAGGAGACTGGAGCATCTCCCTCCAAAATAGGGGAACTATCACATGCTTCTCCAGCTACTTGTGGTGAGGGAGCCGGTATGAAAAACTTCCATTCTATCACAGACTGGTATTTTTGTAAAATGTAATAAAAATTAATTGCTAGGAAAAGGACATTCAAAATACAAGCTGAGCCAGGGTTTTTAGTATTAGATTAAATAATCAATTATTCTGTCAAATTGTTATAAAAGTTTCTAAATGCCCACGCTCAGTCTCTGTACTTACCCCATTGCAGACCAGTACCCACAGTTCAAAAAGAACATTTCAAGATCTATCCTGAAGTACAATGCTGTTAGTGATAGGATGGTATCCATAAGCCTACAACGAAGACCAGTTAATACAACTATTATTCAAATTTACGCACAACTAAGGCCAAAGATGAAGAAATTGAAGATTTTTACCAGCTTCTGCAATCTGAAATTGATCGAACATGCAATCAGGATGCATCGATAATTACTGGTGATTGGAACGTGAAAGTTGGAAACAAAGAAGAAGGATCGGTAGTTGGAAAATAATGGCCTTGGTGACAGAAATGATGCCGGAGACCACATGATAGAATTTTGCAAGACCAATGACTTCTTCATTGCAAATACCTTTTTTCACCAACATAAATGGCCACTATACACATGGACCTTGCCAGATGGAATACATTGGAATCAAATCGACTACATTTGTGGAAAGAGAAAAGCCCAATATCATCAGTTAGAACAAGGCCAGGGGCCGACTGTGGAACAGACCATCAATCGCTCATATGCAAGTTCAAGTTGAAACTGAAGAAAATTAGAACAAGCCCACGAGCCAAAGTACAACCTTGAGTATATCCCACCTGAATTTAGAGACCATCTCAAGAATAGATTTGATGCATTGAACCCTAATGACTGAAGACCAGATGAGTTGTGGAATGACATCAAGGACAGCATACATGAAGAAAGCAAGAGGTGATTAACAGACAGGAAAGAAAGAAAAGACCAAGATGGATGTTAGAAGAGACTCTGAAACTTGCTCTTGAATGTCGAATAGCAAAAGTAAAAGGAAGAAATGATGAAGTGAAAGAACTGAACAGAAGATTTCAAAGTGAAGCTCGAGAAGACAAAGTAAAGTATTATAATGACATGTGCAAAGAGCTGGAGATAGAAAACCAAAAGGGAAGAACACGCTCGACATTCCTCAAGCTGAAAGAACTGAAGAAAAAATTCAAGCCTCAAGTTGCAATAGTGGAGGATTCTACGGGGAAAATATTAAATGGCACAGGAGGCAGCAAAAGAAGATGGAAGGAATATACAGAGTCATTATACCAAAAAGAATTGGTCGACGTTCAACCATTTCAAGAGGTAGCACATGATCAGGAACCGATGGTACTGAAGGAAGAAGTCCAAGCTGCCCTGAAGGCAATGGTGAAAAACAAGGCTCCAGGAATTGACGGAATATCAATTGAGATGTTTCAACAAACGGATGCAGCACTGGAAGTGCTCGCTGGTCTATGCCAAGAAATTTGGAAGACAGCTACCTGGCCAACTGACTGGAAAAGATTCATATTTATGCCTATTCCCAAGAAAGGTGGTCCAACCGAATGTGGAAATTATCGAACAATATCAGTAATATCACATGCAAGTAAAATTTTGTTGAAGATCATTCAAAAGAGGCTGCAGCAGTAAATCAACAGGGAACTGCCAGAAATTCAGGCCGGATTCAGAAGAGGATGTGGAACTGGGGATGTATCACTGCTGATGTGAGATGAATCCTGGCTGAAAGCAGGGAATACCAGAAAGATGTTTACCTGTGTTTTATTGACTATGCAAAGGCATTTGATTGTGTGGATCATAAGAAATTATGGATAACATTGCGAAGAATGGGAATTCCAGAACACTTAATTGTGCTCATGAGGAACCTGTACATAGATCAAGAGGCAGTTGTTTGGACAGAACAAGGGAATACTGCGTGGTTTAAAGTCAGGAAAGGTGTGTGTCAGGGTTGCATCCTTTCACCATACCTATTCAATCTGTATGCTGAGTAAATAATATGAGAAGCTGGACTATATGAAGAACAGGGCATCAATACTGGAGAAAGACTCATTAACAACCTGCACTATGCAGATGACACAACTTTGCTTCCTGTGAAAGCCAAGAGGACTTGAAGCACTTACTGATGAAGATCAAAGACCACGGCTTTCAGTATGGATTACACCTCAGCATAAAGAAAACAAAAATCCTCACAACTGGACCAATAAGCAACATCATGAAAAATGGAAAAAAGACTGATGTTGCCAAGGATTTCACTTTACTTGGATCTACAATCAACATCCATGGAAGCAGCAGTCAAGAAATCAAAAGACGCATTGCATTGGGCAAATCTGCTGCAGAAGACCTCTTTAAAGTGTTGAAAAGTGAAGATGTCACTTTTAAGACCCAAGCCATGGTATTTTCAATTGCATCATATGCATGTGAAAGCTGGACAATGAATAAGGAAGACCAAAGAAGAACTGATGCCTATGAATTGTGGTTTTGGCAAAGAATATTGAATATATCATGGACTGCCAAAAGAATGAGCAAATCTGTCTCAGAAGAAGTACAACCAGAATGCTCCTTAGAAGCAAGGATGGCGAGACTATATCTTACATACTTTGGACATGTGTCAGGAGGGACCTGGAACCGACTCGATGGCACCTAACAACAACAAGAACATCCACAGTTCTCAGACCACACTCTAAGCCACTCTGGCTCAGGCACCTCTGGCCTGAGGCAGCTCCAGGCCTTGGGCCTGTGATTATTTTTTTTTTCTCCTTTTTTTTTTTTTAATTGCACTTCAGGTGAAGGCTTACAGAACATATAGTCTCATTAAACAGTAGTACACATATTGTTTTATGACATTGGTTAACAACCCCACAACATGTCAATCCTCTCCCTTCTCGACCTTTTTTTTTTTGGTGAAATTATACATATCCAAAGATACACCATTTCAAAAATTTCTACATGCACAGTTCAGTGACATTGACTACGCTCTTCCAGTTGTGCTGCTATTCTCACTTTAGATGAAGGCTTACAGAACAAAATAGTTTCTGATTTAACAGTACACATGTTGCCCTATGACAATGGTTAACAACCCCACAACACATCAACACTATCCTTACTCAACCTTGGGTTCCCTATCACCAGCTTTCCTGTTCCCTTCTGCCTTCTGGGCTTGTGATTATTATTAGCTGCTAGGTACCACTTAGTTGGATCTGACTCATGGCGACCCCATGCACAACATACAAAATGTTTCCTGGTCCTGCACTATCAGCGTTGTTGATATGCTTGAGTCCATTGCTGCTGCCATTATGTATTTTGAATGTCTTCCAACCTAGGGGGCTCAGCTTCCAGTACTATGTTGTTGTAAGGTGCAGTCGAGTTGGTTCTGACTCGTAGCAATCCTATGTACAACAGAATGAAACACTACCTGGTCCTGCACCATCTTCACAATCGTTGTTAAGCTTGAACTCATTGTTGCAGCCACTATGTCAATCCATCTTGTTGAGGGTCTTCCTATTTTTCGCTGACCCTCTATTTACCAAGCATGATGTCCTTTTCCAGGGACCGATCCCTCTTGATAATGTATCCAAAGTATGTGGGACGTAGTCTCGCCATCTTTGCTTCTAAGAAGCATTTTGACTGTATTTCTTCCAAGATTTGTTTGTTCTTTTGACAGTCCATGGTATATTCAATATTCTTTGCCAGCACCATAATTCAAAGGCATAAGTTCTTCTTCACTCTTCCTTATTCATTGTCCAGCACTATATTGGACAATATTCTGTTGTGATCCATAGAATTTTCATTGGCTGATTTTTGGAAGTAGATCACCAGCCTTGCTTCCTAGTCCATCTTACTCTGGAAGCTCCACTGAAACCTGCCCACTGCTGAAAACTGCTGGTATTTGAACTGGGGCCCAAAGATCAAGAGGACACATCTGCATTTTCCCCTGAGGATGTAAAGCCAGCTACTAAGGGAGGCTTAAGGCCACTGAAGGCAAAATGAATATTAATCGTAACAGTGACAGCTGTCCCTGTCTCTATGGGCACTGTTTTAGGTACTCTCCATTCATCATCTCTAATTTACCTCAGGGAACTGGCCTTTCTCTGGGGCACCTGAGCTCTGAACAACTGAATCTCTTCAGATATGAATAAGTCAGAACAGGTAGAATTGCAACATGCTAAGTTTCAACAGTTACATTTCTCCTGGCCCTGAGGGTGTTGGGACATTCCTCCTAATGACTCATGTAACTTCCAGGAACATGGCAGGATGACAGAGTCTGGACTTAGTGCAACAGAGTTCAGAGAGCAGATTTCAAAAGACTGATGTGGAGTGTCTTCATGAAGCTGTCCCATCACATAGATGCTCTGGATGCCGGAGACCACAGTGAGAGCTTCTGACTTTTATGTTCACCCAAGATGCAGTGGTGAAATATGAGATTTAAGAGGTTACCTTGGGGTGAACAATTGAATTGCCTGTGGGCTGGGTTCCCTCATTTTCAGGTTGTCCAAACCATTGGTTATTGAACATGTGGTGGCTGGAAGATGGCCACAAATTCTCTAACACTCCTTGCATCAAAGGTGGGGTCTGTCACCTCTCCTGAATGTAGGTGGGCTCTGTGACTGCTCTGACCAACAGAATATGGAGAAGCTACACTGTGCTGGTCTCCAGGCACAGGCCTTAAGAGATTGGCAGTGTCCACTTTCTTTTAGAATACTTGCTCTTGGAAGGGAGCCACCATGGAGAAGTGCAAGTATGCTGAGGCCACCATGCTATGAGGAAGCCCAAGCCATGTGGAGAAGAAGCCATGTGGAGAAGAAGCCTTAAAGAATGAGATGCTATGTGAAGAGAAAGAGACCAAGGAGAACTAAAATGCTCAACATGAAAGAGAAGAAACCTTCTTAGAAGTGAATCCTCAAGCCCCTCCGCCTCAGCAGATGAACTGCCCAGCTGAGCCTTTCCCAAATTCCTAACCCACAAAATCATGGCTTGGTAAAATGTAATGGTTGTTTAAAGTCACTAAGATGGTTACACAGCAATAGATAAGTGGATCGTGCTGGAGAGCTTCTATGTGCCCCTCCAGACTCAGCCTTCTCTACCCTGTCTGCCTCTAAAGGTGACTGGAATAGATTGCCCCAGTGGGTTCCCACTGGGTTCAGACAATGGGGATCCTGACTGGAGCCTGAAGGGCATTGGAAAAGTGAGGTTATTCCCCAGCTCCTCTCTGCAGTGTCCCCCAGGCTATCTGAATCTCTGCTGAAGGCCACAGCTCCTCCCCAGGGAGCTCTCTCTCCAGGACCCTCTTTTTCTGGATTCTGGCATTCCTTCTCCCCTGCGCTTCCCCCTCATCTCATCAGGACTAGTGGTAGCAATGGCCTGTGGTTCCCCTACACCTTTCTAAATAGTCCCTTTCTTATACGCTGTTTGAATTATCCTAATTTGAGTGTGCCATCTGCTTCTTGATATGAAGATCTACAAGAGTCTATGGGAAGAAGTGCTACACACCTGAGTCCTTGGTTGTGGTGGGGGAGGGGTGGGCAAGAAGGAGATTTGTAGCTAGTGTCTTTCAACTACTGGAAAGCAGAATAGCCCTGTCTATGACCTTCCACATTCTGGCCATCACAAAGCAAAATGTGTTTTGTGATCTTTTTTCCTGCCATGAGGTACAGGGACAAAGATCCTCTTAGCTCCAATCATTCAGCTCAGAAATATTCCTGAAATTTGGTTTCTTAAGTCAAATTCCATGTCAGAAACCATGGAATGTGGCCTGATAGATTAAGAACACCAGGTGGAGAAGAATTTTTCATTTGTCTCCATTCTCTTAGCTATAAAATGGAGATAACAATCATTCTTGTTTTACCCACCTCACTGAACTTGTGCGAAGAGCAAATGAACAAGTGATAGGGAATGCTTTGTCAACTAGGAAAAGTTAAAACCCTTTCATGAACGAATTATGTTATGTTTGTAATTTTTTTGGTGATATGTTTTTTCACTAATGGAATACATACTGAATCACTGGGTATTGGTAATCTTCTGTTATGTAATATAGCTTTTTTAATTAATATTATGTGGTACCCATATATACCAGTAAACTCTGAAGGTAAGACAGGTGGAATGAAGCAGGGATAAATTGTTGTTTCTTTTCAATTTTTGTTGTTGTTGTTGAGTGGAGCTTTTTAAAATGTGAGTTAACCCATACAGGCATCATTGCATAACTGCCTTTACAACTGATTGGCTGATCACATTGGATCACATCAAGGAGATTGAGCACATCACTGCATAACTGCCAATCTACATCATTACATAAATGCTAAACTCCATCATTACATAACTGCCAAACCACTGTGAATCATGGCCCAGTAAACCACTGTGAATCATGGCCCAGTAAACCACTGTGAATCATGGCCCAGTAAAGTGCACACACAACCTGAACCATCACAACAGGGTAATACAAATACCACACCTCCAAACCAATATGAGAGTACAGAAGGGGGGATATTGTGTAGTTCCTGCCTCCTGTAAAACTAAAACCCCAAAAGGAAGTGCTGTCATGGGAACAATACCACGGCAGTACGTTACTTCTTACCGCAAAACACATACTTACAGCTGAGAAACTGGAAGATAGGTCCTTGACGATTGCCGTATGTCATGCGGTATGTCAAGGATGCTACAATGTGTGCGTACACTATATTTCTCCTAAAAATACGTTTTTTGCATGCATATTACCTAATCCTGAAAACCACACCTACCCAATAACACAAAGAAAACAAGGCTTATCTCGCTGTTCAGAATTCTAAATGGCCAGAAACTGTAAGTGGTATTTATTTGTACTTATGTACATGAAGTACATCAAGGATGCGGGTTTACAATGTTTTTTGCCTGAAAATAACTTAAGCACTTGAAGATTACCTAATGCCGAATACTGTACCCTCACAATAATACAAAGGAAACAGTAAATGTACTTACAAGCCTTATCTCCACTGTAGAGAGAGAAAAAGACAAAGTCATTCACGGTCACTCCTCCCGGCTGCAACACCTCCTGCAACAAGCTCTCAGCACAACTACATGGCGCCGGCAAACTTCCTACCAGTTTACGCAGTTACAGGAGTCCCTGCCCTGACACCAAAAAACCAAAACCAAACCCACTGCCTTCGAGTTGGTTCCCGCTCATAGCGACCCTGTCAGCACGTACTAAAAATGTTACAAAAGCACACCTATAAACCCCAGAGGCGGGAAATGTGAGTGGTACATATGCGTATAACAGTATACATGAGAGGCATTATTAAACGCTATCCTCCTTATGATTATAGTGGATGCTTGGTATTTGGAGATTTATCATTCCAGGTTTAGGCTGTGAGCATGGAGTTGACTCACTTGTGCCAAAAGGCAGACTCTCTCGTGCAAAAGAGAGTCATTCAGGGAGACTGGCCTTAACGACCTCAGATGTCTGCATCTCTCTCCGATACTTCTTACCAGGCAAGCTGGGCCTCTTTACGAAGAATGACCTCCTGAGGAAGTGCCAGATTGGGGTCTTCACATTGGGAATCACGCTTATTAGGGTGGATTTTAGGTTCTTTCCTCTTTCAGCAGTAAATGAGAAATGGGGTTCAACGAATGTCCACATGAACACCGGGTCTGCCTTGTGGTCCCTCTAAGCAGGCACTCAGGCACTCCTGGTCAACCCCTTCACTTCCCAGGTCTGAGTGAGATGTCCTGGAGTCCAGACCCTACTGTGACCTCACAGTGGGCAGTCTGGACCTGGACATCTGTGAATCTGGAAAAGGCCACTTCAATGACCAAGTGAGGCACAACACTGACAACTGTAGAACTGCTCATCTACGTGTATGTCCCATGGATATTTGCTACTAGGGACCCTAGTTACCCTCTGATGAAAAGGGGGTCATGCTCCCTCACCTGTAGGATGGCAGGGCATGGCTGGCTGTGTGACAGGGGGCCGCTCACTCAACCTCTGGGCCGGGGCCTATTAATACACTGAGGAAGGCCACACCTTCTCTGCAGGTGCGCTGGATCACAGCGCTGGGGCACTGTGTTATTATTTCCACGAATAACAGTTCCTTGAGGAAGGAGGGACATCAAGCCCTTTCGGTTCCCGAGCAGCCCGGGGATGGAAGGGGCCCCAGGTGCTCACCTCGGCCGTCTCGCAGGACGATCTCGCCCTCGCCTGTGATCCAGCGGTAGCAGGGGAACTCAATGTAGTCCCCGTAGGGCGTCTTCAGTGTGATGTACTTCAGGTACCAGTCATCACGGAGCCAGTACTTGCGCTTCTCAATTTTGACCAGCTGGATCTCACCCAGCTCTTCATCCACTATCACATTGTAAGAATCGACCTGCAGAGGAGAAACGGCAGATCATAGTGGTGCAGGGTCCCCTGAGCCCTCATGTCACCGCTAGCCCATTTAACCAAGACATTCACTGGATTCCTGCTATTGACAAGGCCCCGTGCCAGGCCTTGCATGACAGAGATGAAAACCTAGTGAGGGACTCTGGTGTCTGCACACAGCTCAGGCTGGAGTACTGGACACTCCCAGGCAAGTGCCCATCCCTGCTACAACCTCGAGGCCCTGCTAGGCGAGGGTCCTTTTCAGCTGCCACTCTCACAGCAAGGGCAATGGAGGCTTCTGGCCCTTCTCCCCTGCCAGGCTGCAGGGACAAACTGGCTCTCACTCCTGGGCAGCCCTTTACCACTTGCAAAGGGCCCGCTGACAATTACTGTGGGTCCCCCACCACAATTTGGGAAGGGGGATGGAGTTATGACCTGTTTTACACCCCAGCTGCTAACCAAGCTGGACTTCACACCCAGGCTGTCCACTATAGCCATGTAATCTCTCTCTAGTCCTCAGCAGGGCAGCAACTAAGTGACCATGGAGAGGCTTAGATACAACCAAAGTAGCACAGACTCAAGTCCTCTGAATTCCAGCCCTTCGGGAACAACTGCAGTTCACCAGGCCAGCACAGTACTGCCATGAATCATCAGACCCAGGTTCTCACTACCTCTGTGGCTCTGGCGGTGGGTGGAGGCTGGCTGTGCTGCTGGAAGGTAGCACCCCAGGCCCGTGTGTGGCACTGCTCCCAGACCTCTGGGACGGAGCTGTCCTGGCCCCAGGAGATGGGCATCTCTGGGCAACCCTGACAGCTCCTAGACCATCTGCATCTCTGCAGCTTTCCACAGCAGACAGGGAGGAAGGATGAGCGGCACAGGTGCTCCAGGACGCGGAGGAAGGATGAGGGGCTCCAGCATCACATTAGGCGGTTCACTGACCAGCAGGTGCTCCAGGATGGGATGGTTCACTGACCAGCAGTTGCTCCAGCACAGGGAGAAAGGATGAGGGGCTCCAGCATCACATCGGGCGGTTCACTGACCAGCAGTTGCTCCAGGATGGGGAGGAAGGATAAGGGACTCCAGCATCACATCGGGCAGTTCACTGACCAGCGGGTGCTCCAGG